CTCTACGGTAGGAGGTGTCGCACACCTACCTGCTGGTCTGAGGTTGGGGATCGTGAGTTGTTTGGCTTGGACTTTGTCCAAGATACCACCCTGCAGATCCAGATGATCCGGGAAAAGCTGAAACAGGCGAAGAATCGTCAGAAGAGTTACTACGATGTCAAGCATCGTCCACTGGAGTTCAGTGATGGTGAGCACGTGTTTGTGAGACTTTCACCTGTCACTGGTGTTGGACGGGCACTCGGAGTGAGGAAGCTGAGCCCGCGGTTTATTGGGCCATACCAGATTCTTGGTAGAGTAGGACCTGTTGCCTACCGGCTTGCCTTGCCTCCGAACTTGGCTAACATCCACGACGTGTTTCACGTGTCTCAGCTTCGGAAGTACATAGTAGATCTGTCGCACGTGGTGCAACCTGATGATGTGGAGGTTCGGGAGAACCTAAAGACTCCCGTCGGACCACTAAAGATTCTCGATCGTGGCGAGAAGCAGCTGAGGAGCAAGATCATTCCGATGGTCAAAGTGCAATGGTCAGGAAGAACTCCTGAGGAGTGTACCTGGGAGCGAGAGGACAAGCTTCTCTGACAGTATCCCGACTTCCGAGACAGGTATATTCTGATTTTGAGGACAAAATCCTAAAAAGGTGGGGTGAATGTAAGAACCCGCACCGTTAATTAAGGAATTTTAATTAATTAATTATGCAAAATTAGGAAATGATTCCACAATTGACCCTAATAATTATTATGAGGCTTTAATAATTATAGTAAGTGATTAATAATGCTGAAAGTCACTTTTCGGAAGAAAAGTGCAGATACCGGTTCTGCTAGTCGGTATAAATGCGTACCGAAAAAGTATCCCGGAAAATTATAATAAGTGCATGATAATTACTAGAATAATATGTAGGACTTGTAAAGCGAGTTTCAAGTCCAAATAATGAGAACTGGTACTAGAAACCGATACTGGCTTTGAAAAGCGCGTACCGGAAAGGTGCTCTGAAAATTATAAGAAAAATATGATAATTCTTGGATAAATGTGTAGTTTCAGATTCCAAGGTTTGGGATTAAAATGCTAAGCGTAGCAATTAAAGCTAATACTGTGTGTTAGTGACTTAAACCGCCTATATATAGTGCTTGGCACTAAAACCTAGGCTGATACTCAGCTATTTGGACGTGAGTGGCTGCTGGTGGCTGCTGCTCTCTGCCTTCTCCACCATTTCTTGACCTTCCTTGTAGCTTTTCTTCACATTTCCTTCACCAATAGTCCTTGTGTGAGTGAGATAGAGCCTTGGGAGTGGGTGAGAGACCTTCTTGCTGAGTTGGAGCTGCTGTGTGAGGGGTTGTGGTTGCTGCCTCTGTGTTTGTGGAGGGAGTATACCTTTGGCTTGGCATTTGTGGTGCCAAGGAGTCACCTTTTGGTGCAAGAACCAACCTTTGGTGGAACATCTTCGTTTTGGGACCAAGTCAGAACCTTGGGAGTTGGTTGTGAGCTCCAAGAGCCTCCCATTTTTGAGTTTGAAGCTTTGGTAAGTTGTACCAACTTTGATAATGTGTTTTGATGAGTAAAAGAGGTGTCTTGGTATGTTTAAGAGTTAAATAAGTAACCAACAGTGGTATGACCCTAAAACAGTATAAAGATGCATGCTTTAACGTTTGAAAGTGTTAAAAATGGAACCTTGAAAGGATATCTTCACGAAATGCAGTTTCTGCATTCTGTCGTGAAATATTCGGATATGTACCCGAGAAATATCCGGATATGTGATATCTGGATATGGGATTTGGATATCCGGATATGGGAATCTGAATATCCGGATATTGTATATCCGGATATGGTCAATGAGATATCCGGATATTGCATATCCGGATATGCCCCGTGGAATATCCGGATATTCTGGGATTTTGTAGAACAGTAGTTGTGCTGTGTGTACAGTAGGCTATTGGGGGTTTGTGGACCCTAGATTGATGAAGTTGAACTTCTGTAATTAATGAACTAAGTCAGAATCAAGTGATTAAGGGCTTATGGCTTGATATGGAGCCTTAAGACGTAAAACGTAATGGAAAGGCGTTGTCTTAATATTGTATGCTTGCGGTGCATGTTATTGATATATTGTTGGTCCATAACAGATTGTGAATCTGCTGTGTTTGGACTTTGAGCTGTGGACTCTTGGCCTTGGGTGTTAGCTTGCAAGGTAAGCTTTCGTGTCCTCGGTTTAGCCATGTTGTGGTTCCACCATGTCCCATGGGGGTGTGGTTATATGCATGCTGTGTTACATGCTTTGAATATTTGAAATGCTGTTGAGCTTTATGTTTAATGGCTTTTAATATGCATGTGTTGTTTCATCTTGACGGTAAGCCTGAGTATGTGGCGTCATACGATATGGTGATCCGGGGTGAATGTAAGTGGCGTCTTGCACTATGTGTGGGTATTTGGTGTATATAAATCCTGTATTTCTCTGGCCAGTAGAATAGAATTGACACACATGACATGATTATCTGCTGCATTGCACTGTTTTAGAAATGATATTGAAGAACTGCTTTTAAACTTATATTGCACATGTAAGTGAGCTTGGGGTGGAAGATCCTTGAGGACCCCTTGTCTTACTGAGATTTCTTGTTTAGAGATCTCACCCCACCTTTGGGGAATGCTTATTTCAGGTTCAGGTAGTATGGTGACCATGGTAGTTAAAATTGGGATTTAAATCTTAAAATCCCGATTTTAACGATTTGTTTTTGCTAAAACGATTTAGATTTTACTTAAAATCCTTTCCAATATAAAATCTCGATTTAGACATTTACTTAAGTCCGATTTTAAGATTTAAATCCCGATTTTAACTATTGGAATGATGTTAAGCAAGTTAGAAAAATTGTTGAATATAACATTGCTGATGTTTCTTCCGAAAATGAATGGATTGTGGAAAATGAAGAAACTTTATCTCATGATGAAAGTTTAGATGAAGACAATTTTGAATAATGTAGTTGACAGAATGTCTTCGATGATAATAACTTGAATGATTTATTAGCTTAGACCCTTAGAGTGTGACAATTGTATACAAATCTATAAGGATGGTGGTAGGTAGTCTATTTTTCTTAATTTTTTTATACATAAGCATATGTAAATAAAAATTTAATTTTAGAGTGCAGGTAAAATCTACGATTTTTATTACGATTTTACGATTTTTTATTCCCTTTTCGATTTTAGGTAAAATCCTGATTTTGACTACCTTGATGGTGACTGATGTCTCTGGCGGCAGGAGGCCAGAGCTTAGCTGATTATGATATTATGCTGTATTGCTGCCATGACTGGATTTGGATGTTGTTTATGTTTTCCGCTATTTATGATTATGTTGTTGTTTAGACTGATGTTGGGCTTGTTGCCTTATTTGAGTGAGCATGGGGATTGTCCATGACACTTTATGTTAGTACTTTTAGATTGGAGTTGTATAACCTGCTAGTTGGTCCGGCCTACTTGTGGTAGTTTCGTGATTTCTAGATACACACTTTTATTATCTATGTTATGAGGTGTTTCAGTTAGCTGTTTTATTGCAATTACATACAAGCGATGTTTTATTAATTGATTAATCAGCAAGTTGGTAATGATAATGACATCATAATTGAAAAGAAAAAGATATTTCGCATTTTTAATTAAGCGCTGCTTAATACGATAGTATGATAACATTACCGGATATATACGGGGTGTTACAGTGAGCATGCTATAGCAGCCATTTGTCACAATAACGAGCCAGCAGAGAACTATGTCCATCAATGGCTTACAGTGGATGCATTGCATGCCACATATGCGCACACCTTAAACCCAATGAATTCGGACAAGTATTGGCCTGCATCTGATGAACCCAAACCTCTTCCACCAAAACTTAAAAGGCCAATTGGGCGTCCCAAGAAACACAGGAAGAAGGACCCAATTGAAGACCAAGGGAGCATGACAAAGAAAGTCAAAAGGACATATGAAGTCAAGTGTACTAAATGTGGTCAGACTGGACACTATGCCAAGAGTTGTAAGGGGCCACCAGCTTCCAAAACAGATAAAAGCCAAGCAAGACAACAATCTGTGAGGATTGGCACTGACTCAGTAGATGAAATCCCATTAAGTCAAGGAGGCCCTTCAGAAGTTGGTAGTTCTCAGCAGCCACATCAAGGAACCTTGAGAGGAGGCAGCCCACCTCCTTCTAATCCAGAAGAAGCAAATGCAGTGTTGACTGAAGAGACAATGAAGGCAGCAAGCAGTGGCACACGAAGAAGATTTATGCACTTCATGACTACACCTGGTTTCAGGCCACCAAGGCGATCCTCAAGAAAATGAGCTGCTGATGAAGAAGAACAAGGGAGTAGTGCATGAGCCAACTGACAAGGAGTGGATATAATGAGATTTTTTTGTAAATTCTGGCCATTTGTTTTTGGAGGCCTTTAGGGTGTTGGATATAATGTAATTTTTTTTGATGCATGGCCATATTGTATTTATAGGCCTCACTTATGATTCCTATTAGTTGGCTTTTATTTGTAATGCACTACTGGTTTTTAGTTCTAGGAAGACAATTATGTGTAACTGGTTATGCATGTTATGTGGCAGGGTTGATGAATGTCAAATTTTTTGGTTATGATGCATGTGAATAGTGTTATGGTTTTCTGGTTACTGGTTTGTGCAGGTTTGTGCTGGCCATATTTTCTGGTTACTGGTCATTCCATATGGCCATATTTGCATATTTGCATTTACCTGCCATATTTGCATTCTGGTGCAGGTTGTTTAATGTTTCTGGCAAAACAGATCATGCCCAATTTTCTGGTTGCAGGGACCAATTAGGACCCCGACAGTCATTGTGAGGGACCAATTTGGAACCCTACATACTGCATTTCTGATGTTAAGTGCATTTCTGATGGCAAGGCATATAAGTCAGGGACATCATAATAGCTGCAAAAATGCACTACTGTTTTTTAAAATGAGTGTTGCATAACCAAAATTTGGACATCAAGAACTCATGTCCTATAATTCTGGAATCAGGGACCAATAAGGGCCCCGTCCACTTTGTCAGGGACCAAAACGACCCTCGAGTAACATTGACAGGGACCTAAATGGTCCTCGTGTTCTGCAATCAGTAACAAAATATGCATAACAGTATGCAACTTCTGCATCAGCAATGTCATAAGTTATGCATCTATATCAGTAGCAATCTATATCTGTTTGTGATACAATGTAGCAATCTTTTATCCTTCAATCGATGCCTAACTATGCAATAGTCCATAATAACAAAAACTTAGCATCCAATACAGCATTTCACCAAGGCACAAATATATGATGCCATAATCAAAAAGAGGAATACATTCAAGGCTTTTTTATAATAGGCCGTATGATAATACACATAAACAGATTGGCACTAACACATAAAGAAGGAGTACTCATTACAATTCACTGAAGGGAAAATACATTTGGGTCACTTGTTTTCACTTTTACCACACTAACAACAAACATACAGATCATGATCACACCAACACAAGCACCTAAGACCCTAGCTGACCTATCAACTATCCTAATTTTTTTGTCCATCCTATCTAACTCCTCCACATCTTCAGGTATACATCATTCAGTTTTCTTTCCTGCTGATGAAGCTTCATTCCTTGCTCAGTAATCTTCACATCTTGCTCTCTCATCATCATCTCCACATATTTCAACTTGAAGTTAATTTCAGCAACATCCAACTCCACAGTGTTAATTCTTGCTTCTTCTAGCTCCATGGGTTCATTACACATGTCATCTACCCATCTAAAAAAATCACAATAGGGCTTCTTCTCCTGCAAAAAAAAAACCATGGTTAGCAAGTGTTCCAACTCAATAAAGGGGTAGATTACAAATTCATACCTTGAAATTAGGACAGCCAAGGAAAGCCCTGTTTGGGTTCCTCTCAGTTTTGGAGGTATAGACAATACTTTGTCTCCCACATTTGCACCTCCAACCGGCAGTCCTTGTCATTGTTCTTCCCCCAATTGATTTACTCCCACTTGATCCCCCATGCCAGAAGAAACACTCATCTTCTCCCACGCCCAGAAATCTGGTTGATGGGTTTTACTGTCGTGGAGTTTCAATCATCAAAGTGCAGACATTTTGGGGGCGTATTGCTGTTTAGGGATTTGCTCATCAATTTGGGGGATGGAGTTTCCGATTTAGGGTTCGATTCAAGGAATTTGGGGTTTTTTCATTATTAGGGTTCATTATCAAGAGAGGAAATGACGTCGTCCTCTCCATTACACACGTTGCAACCCATTTGCTTTAAAACGTTGTCGTTCAGCTTTCCAATGTGTCAACCGTTCAGTCCGCGTCAGCAGATAACGTGCCACATGGGCACCGTTAGTTTGACCGTGACGAAGGAATTGACAGAAGGACTAACGTGTCCCTTTTTTGTAATTCTAGGGACCAATTGGGTCCTTTTTTATTATTAGGGACTAAAAAGGACTTCTGGATATTACGAGGGACCAAAAAGAATGTTTACTCATCATTTTTAATGCTTGAAATTGAATTTTGAATAGCCCTATGTATGAATAGTTTCTTCCTCGGTTCACATGACGATTTTGCAGAAAATGGTTCTCGACCGGGTAAGCACATGCAACTTTTCCATTGGTTAAAATTTCCTTTCAGTCATTAGATTTTTTTGAATAAAACATCAATTGTAGTAAATATTGAATCCAAATATATATCGAAAGAGATTACATATTTGATTATTTAAATTCATCTTTGTTCATTATTATTATGTTATTATCCTTTGCTCGGTTTCAATTTTGTTTTTTGTTTTTTGTTTTAGATTTGAAGGCGATTTACATTTGTGAAAAAAATGGCGACAAAGAGGAGCGTTGGAACGTTGAAGGAGGGTGATTTGAAGGGGAAGAGAGTGTTCGTGAGGGTTGATCTGAACGTTCCTTTGGATGATAACTTTATCATCACAGATGACACTAGAATCCGTGCTTGTGTTCCCACCATCAAGTACTTGACCGCTTATGGTGCCAAGGCCATCCTTTCAAGCCATCTGGTATGCTATCTATCTATGTATTCCATGTGTTTTATGTATTTGGGTGTGTCTTGTTTTATATCTATCTGTCCATTTATCATGGGTTTTCATTAGATTGGTTATATGTTTGTTTGTTTGTTTGATTTGTTATAGTAACTGGGAAAAGCAATGTCTTTTCACTGACTGATCATTTTTTTTCCTTAAAAATAAACAAGGAAATATTTTTATGGTTGTAAGTTTGATTGGTGTTGTTGATCCACTTTGTGGTGAGCTATCGTTCGATTTAAATTGATTTTACTGTGATTTCATTCCATTTTTAAAATGGGGTAATTGAATAATATCAATCTGAATGTTTACTGTAGTTTTATGGGGTTGTTGTTGTTGTTGTTGTTGAAAAGACCATGAATGTCACAGAAGTATGATGTGAGTGTTAGTAACTTGAAAAATGATGTTTCTGTCTTGAATATGCTGTTTTCAGGGACGTCCAAAGGGCGTGACACCAAAATATAGTTTGAAGCCACTTGTGCCAAGGCTGTCTGAACTACTTGGAATTGAGGTATGCCTTTTAAACTGTTGTATTTTGTTTTGGAATTCCCTCACCCCCTTCTTATTTGGTGGGTTTACTTTTATTCATCATGTCATTTTGGTTTGATTATAGGTTAAGATGGCAAATGACAGTATAGGGGAGGAAGTTGAAAAATTGGTTGCACAAATTCCAGAAGGTGGTGTTTTGCTTCTAGAGAATGTGAGGTTCTATAAGGAGGAAGAGAAGAATGATCCTGAATATGCCAAGAAGCTGGCTTCTCTTGCTGATCTCTATGTTAATGATGCATTTGGCACTGCCCACAGAGCTCATGCTTCTACAGAAGGAGTGGCCAAATACTTGAAGCCCGCTGTTGCAGGATTCCTTATGCAAAAGGTATGTAGGAAGCAATTGTCAGTTCCATTGTTTGTTTGGTAATTTGTGTAGTTGATTAATTTGTTATTTGTTCAATTGTTTCAGGAGCTTGACTATCTAGTTGGAGCTATGTCAAACCCCAAGAAACCATTTGCTGCTATTGTTGGTGGGGCAAAGGTGTCTACCAAGATTGGAGTTATCGAAACCTTGTTGGAGAAAGTTGACTATCTATTGCTTGGTGGAGGGATGGTCTTTACCTTTTACAAGGCCCAGGGTCATTCAGTTGGGTCATCTCTTGTGGAGGAAGACAAGCTTGATCTTGCAACTTCACTTCTTGAGAAGGCCAAGGCTAAAGGTGTTTCCCTGTTGCTTCCAACTGATGTGATCATAGCTGACAAGTTTGCTGCTGATGCTAACAGCAAGGTACTTGCTTGTAGAGTTGGGTTTAGCAATTCTATGAATGCGCTTACACTTTTGAGCTAAGAAGATATTAATGTGACTTTTCATAGCTTGTTGGGAAATGGAGTCCCAACAGATAGAACGATAACAACCGATAAAGGAAATTGAAAGCAATAAATAGAACCCAGAAATTTAATGTGGAAAACCCTCAAACAAATTAAGAGAAAAAGTACGGGGCAAGAGTAGAATTTTTTTTAATTACAACCTCTTTTTGGTTACAAGGAGAGAAATTTTTTATCTCTCTTGAATTTAGAGAATTCCTCACAAAACTCTCAAGAAAATATAGGAGAAAGAAAATATTTTGGTGTACATAGAAAGAAGCCCCCTCACCCTTTTGCCTTAACATATTCCCACAAATGTGGAATTTATAAAGAGTTCTGACATAGCTTTATGATCATATATTTTTAGTAGTGATTAGAATGTTGAGATATACATAAAGCTTTGCTTATATGTTCTCAGGTTGTGCCAGCATCAAGCATCCCGGACGGATGGATGGGATTGGATATTGGACCCGATTCCATTAAAACATTTAGTCAAGCATTGGATAAGACTCAGACCATCATTTGGAATGGACCAATGGGTGTTTTTGAGTTTGATAAGTTTGCAGCAGGAACAGAGGTATGGATGTTTTGAAAGCTATTAAAAATACACCTATTAGATCATCCTCCATTTCTGAAAGTTATTGCTAAATTGCTTCACTGTAAATCAGTGTCAAGTGTCAATCCATTTATATGCTTTGTAAGTGTCTCCCCCATCACAACTTGGATCCTTCATAAGCCTGGTCCCATCCACTCGATAGTTTTCAGAATTGGACTGGATCATACAGGCTGGTTGGACTGGAAAAATAGGGCACAAGTAATTTTTTTTGAAATCAGGTCATGAATTTGTTGACCTGTGTGAACCGGTCATGGTTCACAGGGTTAAACTGGTCTTTTTCTTAACGAAATTTAAATTTTCTTATTACATTGATTATTTGGTTCTTAATTTATTATCAAAACTTGGGCTTTTTTTAGTTTATCCAATGAGAGACACATAGGAGCTTGTAATGCATTAAGAGTGTCTTATTAAGAAACATATTTTAATATTTTTCCTTGGTTTTATTTATGCACTTTATATATTTATTTATTTATTTCTATTCATATAATATTTTCCTTGGTTTGACTCTCGTTCAAACCCAATTGAACCTTAAATTTTTTTCTGTACTCATTCAATGACCAGTTTGCTTTGGGGAACATTGCATGTAGTGATAAAAAATTCTTTGAAGCTTTAAAAATATGCTATATTGCTACTTCAAGTTTTATAATTTGATTTACTTTAGCACTAGTAACTGATGACTGTTCTCTTTTGTGTGCAGGCTATAGCCAAGAAACTGGCTGAGCTAAGTGGGAAGGGAGTAACAACGATCATTGGAGGAGGTGACTCTGTGGCTGCTGTGGAGAAGGTTGGACTTGCAGACAAGATGAGCCACATCTCAACTGGTGGTGGTGCCAGCTTAGAGCTTCTTGAGGGGAAGCAACTCCCTGGAGTTCTTGCTCTTGATGATGCTTGAGCATACATGAGATAGGCCATACCTTTGTATTCTGTGCTTTATTATGGTTGGGTTTCAACCAATGTTTGATTTTGAGGTACAAAATACAAATGTGTTGCTCTTGTAGAGGCATAATATAGGATAGATTTCAAAATAAGAGGTTTTTGTAACATTTATGGTGTTAACAATGCGTTTGATGAGATTGCTCCTGAACAATTTTCATTTCCAAAGGTGGAGGTTGCTTTAGTAGGGTTATGTTCTATGTAGCACCGATACTGACACGGGACACGTGACACGACACGATATTCTGACACATTAATTTTAAAAAATGTTAGATTTCAACACGTTAGAACACGTTTTGATATTAAATAATATTTTTAATTTATGTAGTGTATATTATATTTAATGTAACACCCTCCCTTGTATGCATCTAAGAGAGTTGTTTGCTAAGCGGAATTAGAGTTCTTTCGTCATATTTAAAATACTGGAAAATCATTTTGATGTTGCTAATTAAAATTTGTAATTGAAATCAGGTGGATTACAAAAATCAGAGTATGCTTTCAAAGTTTCTTAAGTTGCTGAAAATATAATTTTCCTGGCAGACCTTGCTGTCTTTAAAATTTCGTATAAAATCAAGTTTTCTAATCTTTTTTGTAACGTTTATATAATCAAAAACTAGACACGCGGGGCTTCGCGTGCATGTAAAATAATAGTAACTCGGAGGTCGTTTGCCCTTTGTAACGTACTCGCAAAGTGCTCGCAAAACTGTTTCAAAATCAGCATGTAACAAAATGTCAAAATTTCTTTTCGCGAAACGTTTCTAAAATTTTATTTCCAAGTACTTGCTGATCCTAAAAGTCTTAAAACAGTAATAGAATCATAGTTCAACAGTAATACAACTTCTCAAATTAATACAATCCTCCCTCAAATAAACAGCAACAACAAAAGTCCAAACAACAGCACATAATAGCAAATATCCATATAATCATGTCTTCATATGCTCTTCTGTCCTCCTGCCATTTTATAAAAATAGCAGCCCCAAAGGGGTGAGAAAAATCCCAGTAGTGTGGCAACAAAACCAGTAA